ACAATTGTTACTAGATAACCTGTTGAATAGTTGGCCTACTCTTGATCCTGCCCTTCCACTTCCCATGTAAAGAATAGCTAGCTTTGACATTTACACTCTGATAACACCATGGGAACTCCTTCCTAAATTCAAGGACCTGCCTGGTTCTTGGAGCTGGAAGGAGAAGCAGAGTCTGGAAATAGATTAGTGGTGGGTACGGAAAGGCAGTTCTCATGAGTGAAGTAAGTCCTTCACTCCCTAGGAAAACATTCTATATTTTAGCAATTGTGAGAATCCTGAGCCTGTATGCTTGCTTCCCACTTATAATACAAAAGATACATGTTTATTGACATATTTCGTTCATTTAGGATTTGCAGTCAATTTCCTCTATTCAGAGTAGTGATCTCTTGCAGAAAAAGACCTACACAAGTGAGGGAATCTGTGTCAGCTACCTATACTAATAAACCTAATCCCTTGTATATAAAAATAAAGCAAATATCCATAATGTAAAAGAAGAAACAAAAAACATGACACAAGGAAAAACAGATCCAGAAAACAAAAGGGATATTATGAAAGCTCTAATTAAGGCTAGGTGCGATGGCTCACGCCTGTAATCCCAGCACTTTGGGAGGCCGAGGCGGGCGGATCATGAAGTCAGGAGTTTGAGACCATCCTGGCTAACATAGTGAAACCCCGTCTCTACTAAAAATACAAAAAATTAGCTGGGCATGGTGGCGGGCGCCTGTAGTCCCAGCCACTGGGGAGGCTGAGGCAGGAGAGTGGCGGGAACCCGGGAGGCGAAGCTTGCAGTGAGCCGAGATCACACCACTCTACTCCAGCCTGAGGGACAGAGCAAGATTCCGACTTTAAAAAAAAAAAAAAAGAAGAAGAAAAAAAAATTAAAATTAAAATCATGAATGGGCAAAAGCTGGAACCATTCCATTTGAAAACCGGCACAAGACAAGAATGCCCTCCTCTCACCATTCCTGTTCAACATAGTATTGGAAGTTCTGGCCGGGTAATCAGGCAAGAGAAAAAAAAAAAGGAGGGGGAGGGGGGCGGCATTCAGATGGGAAGAGAGGAAATCAAATTGTTGCTGTTGCAAATGACATGATTCTATATTTAGAAATCTCCATAGTCTCAGCCCAAAACCTCCTTAAGCTGATAAGCAACTTCAGCAAACTCTCAGTATAAAAAATCAATGTGTAAAAATCACAAGCATTCCTATACACCAACAATAGACAAACAGAGCCAAATCATGAATGAACTCCCATTCACAATTGCTACAAAGAGAATAAAATACCTAGGAATACAGCTAACGAGGGACATGAAGGACCTCTTCAAGGAGAACTACAAATCACTGCTCAAGGAAATAAGAGGACACAAACAAGTAGAAAAACATTTCATCCTCGTGGATAGGAAGAACCAGTATCATGAAAATGGCCATACTGCCCAAAGTAATTTATAGATTCAGTGCTATTCCCAAACTACCATGGACATTTTTCACAGAATTAGAAAAAACTACTCTGAATTTCATATAGAACCAAAAAAGAGCCCGTAGAGCCAAGACAATCCTAAGCTAAAAGAAGAAGACTGGAGGCATCACGCTACCTGACTTCAAACTATACTACAAGGCTACAGTAACCAAAACAGCATAATACTAGTACCCAAATAGACATATAGACCAATGGAACAGAGACCTCAGAAATAACACCACCCATCTACAACCATCTGATCTTCGACAAACCTGACAAAAACAAGCAATGGGGAAAGGATTCCCTATTTAATAAATGGTGCTTGGAAAACCAGCTAGTTATATGCAGAAAACAAACTGGACTCCTTCCTTACACCTTATACAAAAATTAACTCAAGGTGGATTAAAGATTTAAATGTAAAACCCAAAACCATAAAAACCCTAGAAGAAAACTTAGGCAATACCATTCAGGACATAGGCATGGGCAAAGATTTAATTATGAAAACGCCAAAAGCAAAAAAAAAAAAAAAAAAAAGAAAAGAAAAGAAAACGCCAAAAGCAATTGCAACAAAGGCTAAAATTGATAGAGGATCTAATTAAGCTAAAGAGCTTCTGCATAGCAAAAGAAACTATAATCAGAGTAAACAGGCAAGCTACCAGAATGGGAGAAAATTTTTGCAATCTACCTATCTGACAATGGTTTAGTATCCAGAATCTATAAGAAACTTAAATTTACACGAAAAAAACAACCCCATCAAAAAGTGGGCAAAGGATATGAACAGATACTTCTCACAATTTTATGCAGCCAACAAACATATGAAAACAAGCTCAACATCACTGATCATTAGAGAAATGCAAATCAAAACTACAGTGAGATACCATCTCATGTGAGTCAGAATGGTGATTATTAAAAAGTCAAACAATAGATGCTGGTGAGGGTGTGGAGAAATAGGAATGCTTTTACACTGTTGGTGATAGACATATATATATGTATGTATCAGAATACTATTCAGCCAATAAAAGGAATGAAATAATGGCATTCTCAGCAACCTGCATGGAACTAGAGACCATTATTCTAAGTGAAGTAACTCAGGAATGGAAAACCAAACATTGTATGTTCTCACTCATAAGGGGGAGCTAAGCTATGAGGATGCAACGGCGTAAGAATGACACAATGGACTTTGGGGACCCAGGGGGAAAGGGGGAAGGGAGTGAGGGATAAAATTGGATTCAGTGTGTACTGCTCAGGTGATGGGTGCACCAAAATCTCACAGATCAGCACTAAACAACTTACTCATGTAACCAAAACCACCTGTTCCCCCAAAACCTATGAAAATAAGTAAAATAACAAAATAAAGAGGACAATAAGGAATATGAAAAAGCATTATTAAATAAGCCAAAGAATGAAAATAAGCAGAAGAGTAAAATCTAGTTAAAATGCATAGATAACAGTTGTAAAGAACATTTTCCTGACAAGTAGACTCAGAGAGCAGTCTTTGTGTTTGGAGTTGAGAATATAATGTCTTGTTTAGAAGGAGGAGATTACAGATACTGAACTTCAACTATTTTCTGTAACAGTTAAGATTAATCTCAAGAATACAAATAGGATATAGGCTGGGTGTGGTGGCTCATGCCTGTAATCCCAGCACTTTGGGAGGCCAAAACAGGTGGCTCACTTGAGCCCAGGAGTTCAAAACCAACCTGTCCAACATGGTGAAACCCTGTCTCTACTAAAAATACAAAGAATAGCCGGGCACCATGCCACATGCCTGTAATCTCAACTACTTGGGAGGCTGAGGCAGGAGAATCACTTGAATCCAGGAAGCAGAGGCTCAGTGTGCAGAGATCACGCCACTGCACTCCAGCCTGGGAAACAGAGCAGGACTCGGTGTCAAAATAATAATAATACAAATAGAATAATAACAGTGAAAACTCATAGTATGTTTTATATTATAAGCACTATTTTAAATGCCTGGTTTGAGAAAAATGTTCTCAAGGCTTTAGCAAAAACTACAGAACCTGTAGAGAAAGAACAGAAGGGATGGGGGAGGGTAGAGAAGGATGGCCGTGGCTAACATTTTTTGATAATTAATTACTATGTGCCAGATATCATACTAAATGTATTAAGTGGATTACCTCATTTAATCCTCACAGCAGTTTCACAAATAAGGAAATTGGGAGTTATAGGAATTCTGCTAACAGACCTTCTACTATTAATACTAACCTCTGAGCTACCTCTTTCCTAACTACCTAACTACAGTAAATCCTCATTTATGTTGCTTAAAGCCACCATTTCCAAGAACCTACTGGTGATGTTTTAGGTGGATGCAAAGGTAATTGCAGTTTAGTAGCAAAAACCGCAATTACTTTTGCACCAACATAATATCAGTGACTTTAAGTGAAATAACACCACCAATTTTACCATAGGCTAATTGATATGAATAAAGAGTTCAATTTTTACAGCCTATTTCTGATCACAAAAGCATCACCAAACTTCTAAAGACCAAAACACCTCTAATATTAAATACTGAAATAAATGTGAGCTATACATGTATTAACGAAAGATAAATAAAAACAAGATAATTACTGGAGCCTGTCCTGGCAGTTCAGGGTACAAGGCAGAAACCAGGCCTGGATGGGACACCATCCCTTCACAGGGCACACTCACACACACCAGCACTCACCCCAACTGGGACCATTTAGACACACCAGTGTACCTAACATGCACATCTTTGGGATATAAGAGGAAACTGGATTACCCAGAGAAAACACACACAAACACAGGGACAACATGCAAACTCCACACAGACAGAAACTCCACACAGACAGCAACCCCAGCTCGAAATCAATTTTTTCTCATCGTTATAAGACAATGTTGAATGAAGTGACATTATTAAGAACCTGCTGTACCTTTTTCCTAACAATTCCATTTGGGAGGGGAGACAGGCTCATCATGTTTTCCCATAGCAAGGCTAATCCCATAATTACTCTGAGATTTGCTTTCCTTTCCTCCTGACACCACTTAGACTTTGACTCTTTCTTTGAGGTCCAGGAAGACACAAAATATAGAATAGAGAATGTTCCTTGCGCAGTATGAGAATGAAGTATGACGCCTTCTGCCTTCACTTTTCATCATGCATGGATGCTCATATTAAAACTCTATAACCTTGTGACAACCAGCTTATTTGCTGTGGTAGGAATGGGTAGATAGAGAATCTACATAATTCTGGGACTGGTATACCTAACACCTATCTACTGTTGATTAAGCCAAAATACAGGTATACTTAATAGGTTTAGGTATATTAGGTTTAGGTATATTTTAGCACTTAGCACGATGTCACAATACTAAAAAGAAAAGTAGGCTTCTGGGTTTTCATGTATATTTTTAGTTTCTTGACTTTGAAAGGTAGCATTTCTGTTACTTTGAATACGCCACAAACAGATTATATGCTTCTCAAATATTTTCGTTCATTTTAACAAAATACAAAAGCTATCTTAAGGAAACCAATCTCACACTAAGAAAAAAAAGTTTTCTTGTGTTTTGCAGACTTTGAATAATGAGATGAGTACAGATGAAGACAATGAATATGCAGAAGAAAAGGATAGCTACATCTGTGCAGTGTGTCTGGACGTTTATTTCAACCCTTATATGTGTTACCCTTGCCATCACATCTTCTGTGAGCCCTGCTTGCGGACTCTGGCCAAAGACAATCCTTCCAGCACTCCATGCCCATTATGTCGGACAATTATTTCTAGAGTCTTTTTCCAGACAGGTAACAATTCTCTTTCATTAACATGATTGTCTGATTATTCTACCTCTTGGTTATAGTTCTAAAGGTACTTTATAAATTATTAAAAAGTTACTGATAAATCACATATACCATAATTTGTTATTCTCCACTTTATAAAACAGTACTTACCCAACTTATAAAACTGTTAGAATCATAGATGAGAATAGAGCCTCATCTCTAATTCCCTACTCTGCACTCAGATCCTTTCTAAAACACTGTAACTAGTTGTTCGGCCTTGGACATTTCTAGTGTTAAGGAAGTTCCATTTGAAGCAGTGCTGTTGATTATTTATTCCTCGTATCTGCCTTCCACTACCCCTTATTCTTTGGCTCTTGTTATTTCCTTTGGAGTCACAGAGAATAAATCCATAAATATCTATCTAAGTACAATTATTACATCTTTCTCCCAAACTCAAAATTTTCTCAACCTTCTTAATGTTCTTAAGGTTAAGGTCCTTCTCTTTGGACAGGAAAAAAGTCAAATTGGAGCAATGATTTGTTGACCTAATTTTCATGTAAAGATGTAATACAATATTTAAAACATTAATGAAGAGATAATGAATGTGGAACATAGAGAATGACTAAGGGTAGAATGATAGAATACACTACTATGTGCTAAATGTTAGGTGGGAAATTTTCTATCTTCACATTCTCCTCTCAGCTGTAAAGGAGCTAAATGAGGATCCGAGTATGTACTACATTAATAGTAAAACTGAAGAGAATAAATACATGGTGCATCTTTCTTCCCTCAAGGAAATCCAAGGACCCACCTGCATGGGAGAATCAGATTATTAAAGTAAACTTTGACTGTCCTACACAACCAGCTGCATGAAGGCTTGCAAACCTTTATAGGCTCAGTAATCAAACAAAGAAGAGAAACTAAAGCTGTGCCTCTCTGTTCTACCTAGTGCATGTAGACTGCAGCACAAAATTACCACACTGAGCTTGGGCAGATCTAGAGCCAAAAGGACTTGCCAAGCACAGCAACTCTACCCCAGTCGAGAAATGTGGTCAGGACACCAGGCTGTCATCAGTCTCACCAGACAGTTCATTTACTCCTTTCATAGGGAAGACCATAAAGGGTACAGAAAGGAAAGGATGCACTTCCATGAGAGGGTCAAACCTTACTGGAAGTTCTTCTCTGGCCTCTGGCTGGAATGTTGAGATGTGGGAGAAAAGAATTATTTTCTAATACCAGATCTCTTGCTGTGTCTTTTGGGGTGACAAAAAAGAGGAGCACCAGTGACACCATTTGGTCAATGTTATCTCTGGCCAGCTTTACAAGCAAACATTTACTGAAAACTTGTTTTGATAGGAAGCGTCTAGGCAATATACAGTGTTTAGGCAGATGTTGTCCCTGCCTTCCATAATCTCACTTAACACTGGTAAGGGTTATAAAATTTATTTTCTTCAGGTCCTAAAACAATAATGACTCAAGTTTTTCTTGGTTCATTTATTAAAACAAAAATTTCATATCTTCCTTTATTTTTAAAATCAGTTATTCTAAAATAAATCACATTGGGAATACTTATGGTCTTTTCCAATGTAGACTATATTTGGTTGTGTGCTGTCATTTACAGGCTGATAGTAGGAATATTCTACTTACTTGTTTATACTCTACCTCAAAAGGATTTGAGGTGATTTGTAAAATACATTTAATGAAGTAGCAGGACAAGGGAATTATGAATTGACATAGATTATAAAGATCAGGTGAGGGTAGGTAGACAGATAAATAAGCATATGATCCTACATAGTATTTTATTTTTAATGGCAAAAACCATAATTACTTTTGCACCAACCTAATACTACAATTAGATGAAGTAATTGCTTTTAAATTTGCTTTTTCTGATTGCCTAAAGGAAAATAAAAGTCAGTACACAAAGGATTCTTGGGATCCATGAAAAAAAAAAAAGCATGCCAATTCTTCAGGATAAGCAAAGGTTTTTCTGGCAATTGTCTTTAAACAAATTTTTTATGTTATTTCTCCTCTAGGGCATATTGGGAGAGAGACTAGGCAATGTCCTCAAAAACATCATCAGAGCAAATGCACTGCCAGGTTTTCTGGTGTTTTATCTTAAGGTATTTTTTGGTAAAAGCTGAGGTAATATCATAGTATAAATTAGGGAAAGTAACATTGTTAGTAACCAAAGAATGTGGTTTAGTTTTCTTATAAAAATAACTTAAAATTATATAGATAATACAGTTTCGTTATAGGAAAATCAGAAACTATAAATAAAATGTAAGCTCAAAATTAGCTGTATTTCTATCATTTAAAACTAATATCCTTCCAGAATATATCAGAATCAGATTATATTGTACATATGGTCTTTAAGCTGTTGTGTTTGTTTAACTTAAAGTTCTTGTGATTATATTATGGCCCTGCTTAGCCAGCCTACTCTTTTGGGAAATTTAGTTTATTTATTTATATTTATCTACTGATATATGTGGATAAATATTTGAACGCATTACAGAGTACTTCCTTGAGATGAATTTCCAGAAGTAGAAATGGTAGTTAAAGCCTACATATTTTAAGGGTACATATACATTGCAAAATTATACTGAAATTATTGTAAGCAGAAGTGTGTGAGGGCTTGTTGTCTCTAGAGTCCTGACTATCCTAATTTTCCTTTTTAAATTTGTGACCAGATTTTTTATATTTGGTGTCAGCTTTTGTCATATATGGTAATAAATTTTCCTTTTTTGTCATTTGTACTTTAATTTTGTTTATGGTATTTTTTGAATGTGCAGGACTTCTACATTTGTATGTAGAAGTGACCTTTGCCAGGTAGTGATCTTGCCTTTATTATTTATAATTTCAAAGTTAGTTTTAGGCCTTTCCCACTACAGAATTAATTAAACATTCTCTTTCCCTATATTTGTTTAAGGTTTCAGTTTGTCCTCATGTCCCCACATATAACTCCTGTCCATTTATTCTGGTGCATGGTTTGGTAAATAATAAAGTACATTTTTTTGATTCCTTAGGCATGTGTCCTGGCAGCATTCATTGAACAGTCTACTGTTACTATGATGACTGAATTGTATTTCTTTAAAAAGCAATTACAGTAATTTCTAAAACGCTCTTTAGCAGCTATTCTTTTCATCTTTATCTTGTCCTATACTTTTACTCCACTTTTATAATTATTCTAGCATTTATGTTTTAATTGCTCATGAGTGAATTAAACTTAATTTGGGGATAATTGACATTTTAATTGACATTTTTATAATATTGAGTCATTGTTGTCATGGTATACCACCTCTCAATAAAGTTCCAAAATTTCCTTCCTAAAGACTCTGCACATTTATTAGTTTTGTACCTATATATTTTTGTTCTTGCTATTGTAAATGAGATTTTCTTCCCCTCATTTAGTTTTTGCTTTTTTTGATATTTTAGGAAACTTAGTTTCCCAGTGTTAGACTTTTCTGTTACCAGTCAGCTTACCCTGGGAGTTATTTATTAAATGAATTAGTTAGTTATGTCAGCTACCTCAGTTGTCACCATTCAAATTGTGTATAAACCAGGGACTGTTATTGTCATGGGGCCTTTTTAAAGATTAAAGTGGGAAAGCTGTCATTTTCTAAAGATATGTGTGGAATAAGGGATTAGTTGTAACAGTTCTATTATAGTAGCTCAATGAATAGAAATATAATGAAGTTACTCCCACATTTACTCCATTCAGTGTGCTTTAGAAAATTAATGACTTTAAAACTGAACTATAACAAACTAATTTCTTGTTTAAATTACTTTACACTGTTAGCTGTTGAGAAGTTGATGTGGGATAAGATATGTACAGAAAAGGGTAGAAACATTAATATCTATGTTTTTAATGGAAGTCAAGGTATACTGTTGAAAGTTGATAAAAAAAAAAATTCATAGTGTTCACTGTTGGTTGCTAATTAGTATGCATAACCTCCTTCTTTCTTCTCAACATAACCCTGAGTATTCAACTCTTCCAACACAGACCAGGTGACTCTTGGTAGCAGACCCCATCCTCTGCTCCTGGGTAATCTATCCCCTTTGCCAATAATTGGTTCACAGATAGGCATGTGGTCCAGTTTGGGTCAATGAGATGAGAAGGTTTGTCTTTCCTTTTAAGACATGAAATGAAGAAACCATTTTCTCTCCCTTTGGACATAAACAAGAAAGTATATAACAGAGATAGTTACAAGTAGCTGTCTTATGAGACTTAGTATGAAGTCTTATTTTTGGATTGTAGAACTTAGGACAGAGGTGAACATGAGGTCTTGAAGACACTGTTGGACCAGTGACTCGGCCAAGTTTGAAGCCCATGCTTTAATACATGAAATATTAAATTTGTTAATTAACTAAGTCAGTTTGAGTAAACTTTCATTAGTTTGAACCAAGAGCAACGTAACAGATAAAAGCATATCAGTTATTTGATAGGTGAGAAGGGAGGAAGGTAGTTTAAAAAAACTTATATCCCCTTAGAACAACATTAATAATGAAGTTTATAAATGAAGAAATAATTCTGGATTGGTGCTATAAGAAGCTCAGTGGACACTTCCCCAGCAAAATCAGCATTTAACTGGTGAAAATATTTTTTTAAAAAAACAGATTAGAAGTAATCCTAAACACATACAGCAAATGAAGCATTTATTCAAAAATATCTACTAAAATCTACTGCTATTATAGGTAAGAATGAGAGCCTATAGCATTTGAGACAGGACCAGCTTTCAAACCCATCACTGCTAGCTCAATGTGACAAAAGCTTTAATTCAAGTGGGTACAACTAGGAAGACTGGGCTCCCTCCGTCCATTCTCCCACTCCCTAGTCTGGTGCTATAGTTTCACCACAGGGGAAGTAGACCACTGATATCACTTATCCTCTCAGCTTCATGTTGCAGAAGCTGTATTCCAGGCAGGCGCAGCCAAGAGCACTGGAGCTCCCTTCCCCACCTATCCTCCACTTGTAAGGTGGAAGTTTTACTCCAGGCACATGAGTCTTAGTATCCTTAGCCCCGAGC